ACAGAATTGGGAAAAAGGGAGGGTCTCTCATTAGGGAGGAGGAGAGAGAAATACAAAAGGAAGGAAGAGAGTAAAATAACAATAGGAGGTCTGAAAAGGTCTTAAGGAGTCATATTAACTATGGGCTTAAAAATAAGTTTATACTACACACGTCTGATGATAAGTACACATATATAGTTTAAATGGAATCTTCACTATCTCCAAGAGCCAAAGACCATCTAACAAAAGCCCCAACAGTGAACATTAAAAGACTTCTTTTGAGTCATTGGCCAGTGAAGTAGTCTGAATGTAATTGGCCCCCATAAGCTCATAGTGACAGACCCCAACCCAGGGTACTACCTTCTCGAGGGGGTGCCCCAAGAACCCAGACTCCAATCCAGTTGATGCAACAGCAAGAGGTGTTTATTAATGCGGCTGTACAGCCAGGCTAACTCAGCTCCAAAGAGCAAGAGTCGCGCCTATTGCAATCACATGGGTACTTTTAAAGGAAAAACCCACAAAAGCCATAAGATTACAATTCCCATACAATTTCATTTCACAAGATCATGGTCTGGTCACAGAGTGGGTACAGTCACGTCCGCATGTACATTCTTCCCAAAACCTCAAGGTGGGTATCAGGGCGGGAGTGGAGTTTACACAAAGGTCACAGTGGTCCTTCCTGGAACACCTGCAACTATCCCAGTCACAGTTGAGCGCATCTCTTAACAGAGATCTCTTTACATTGTTATATTGTGGCAGGGGTGGTTGAATAATGGCTGAGTCCGGTTGTCCTTGGAACTAATTTTCTTTTTAGTTCCTTATTCTCCTGGGGCTTGGGGGTGTAAGCCTGAAGGGTTAGGGTCTTTCAATTGTAAGTGACACTTTAGGATGTGTGGCCTTGTTGGAGGAAGTGTGTCACTGTGGAGGGGGGCTTTGAGGTCTCCTTTGCTCAAGCTTCACTCAGTGTGATGCTCAGACCACTTCCTGCTGCCTGTGGGTCAAGAGGTAGGACTCTCAGCTCCTTCTCCAGCACCATGTCTGCCTGCACAGCACCATATCCCACCACAACAATGGACTAAACCTCTGAAAATATAAGCAGCCCCAATGAAACGTTTACCTTTATAAAGGTTACAGTGGTCATGGTGTCTCTTCACAGCAATAGGGACCCTACCTAAGGCAGTCAGGGTTGTTCAAGAGGCTCCCAGAATATTACAGACTACTGCTATTTCCCTTGGTAGCCCCCCTCCCAGAGGTGGAAGGTAAGTCCCTACTGCAGAAGATCCCCTGCACTTCAGACACAGGGCCCAGAGGTTTTCTGAGCTGGAACTAACCTGAAAGCCTCCTCCTTGAGGGCTAGCTTTCAGGGTATCAGAAGGCACCATGTAAGCTTCCAAATGAGGGAAGTAACCAATAGTCCTACCCAGCCATATTGTGTATGAATCACACCAATGGCCAGCATGGCATGATAATCCCAAGATGCAACAGTGGACATGCATACCTTGGCTGAAACCAACAGCTGTCTAATTGGACATGAGACCCACTGAACAAGAGGGAAACCACACCTCTACTGAAACTCTAGCCAACTACCCAGGATGATTGAAGTCACAGATAATAGACATAAAACTATAACCACCAAATTACTAAACCAGCATAATGCCCAACTACATTCTAAATATTTGTCCTTACACCCACAGATGTTCTCACCCCTCACCAAGGAAACATCTCTGTACAACAGACAGAAACTATTACAGAAAACTGCAACCAACCCAAACTGCAAAGCGGTAGAGCCCAGTCCCAATGGATACGTCTACAAAACAACTCCCATGCCTAAGGCTCAGGGAATGTGACAGAAGAGGGACCAAAAGGTGGGAAGAGCCAGAGGAATAGGGAGTTTGAGACTGTGTCTCCTGGTAACACCAGAAGCTACACCCACAAAGTCTCACCAACATGGCTACCCAAATGTGAACTGAACAAGGACAATGATAGACACAGGGAAGCCCACCAGGCCTCAACCCTACAGAAAGAACCACAAGCAACTAAAGAATGCTGGGAATGGGAGAAAAAGCCTCTCCGAGGAAGAGCACATCCATTGGTTACCCAATACCAAATGGTCAGTCCTGAAAACATACACACAAGTAACCTTAAACAGACTGAACAGGTTACATAGGAAACAGTAGGATACAGCTATCAGTTAATGCCTCCTACCCCTTTCCACAAGGGATGCCTGTGCTTGCCTAGTCTCCTCCTGAAGTAAGGGGGAAAGAGCACCTTCCATCCCTGGAGAGAAATGGCTGCCTCTGCTTAAAGTCTGGTCTCCATCCACATCCACTCGGTTTGAGGACCCAGGTAAATCAAATCACCCATCCCTCACTTTCAAATACAGCAGCAGCCCTGCAACTCCAGAAATAAATCATATTGAATGCTACAGACCTGGCACCCACACCTTTTAAGACCATTTACTGTGGAAGATCTCCTAAGATTAACAGCATGTGCAAGAATACCAAATAGCTCAGTCTACGCACTTGGCATTTCAATGTACATCCCAGGCTGTGTCAGCCCCATCTCTTGAGAGGTTTCAGATGATTGCTTCTTGCTACTCTGTCCTGCCAAGCGATCTGAATGAAAATTCTGGAAGTTAAAAGTCAACTATCTGAAAATTTAAAATCCACCAAGCAGGACTGACAACAGAATACAGGAAAAAGATAATCAACTTGAGGATAGATAAATAGAGTCTGTGTGGTGGCCCACTCGATAATCTGGGCACTCGGGAGGTGAAGGCAAAAGGGGCAGGAATTCAAAGTCATCCTCAGCTCTGCAGCAATTCCAAGCTACCCTGGGACACATGAGACCCTGTTTCCAATGTGTGTGTGTGTGAAGGAGGAAGATGGATAAGAATAAATTATGAAATGTGAATATCATGGAGGAAATAAATCAACAAAAAAAGGATCAAAAGCACAAGTACCTTGTAGAACAATGTGAACTAATTAATATAATACAGGTCTCAGGAAAAAGTAAGGCTAGTCAGAAAAATGCATTTTAAGAAAAAAAGGCAAAGAGGTTTCCAAGATTTATCAAAAGCATTAACATAAATTTCATATATTCCAACCATGATAGCTAAAATGAAAATCACACCTGGAAATGTCATAGTCACACTGATGGAAACCAAAATAAAGAGCAAATATAAAGTGGCCAGGGCTGGGGGCTGGCAGTGTGCTGCACACGGCCACTCCAAAGCAGTGCTGATTTATGTGAGGAAGATATAGAAGCTTCTTGAAGAAGAGTTAAGTCCTCAAGGGATTCACTTCCCATTTCTGCTTTCCTAGCTCGAGTCATGGGTTAATTCAAGACATGTAACTCCGACACACACTACTTCCTCTAAACGGTAAAATATAAGACCACTGGAACCTTATGGCTTTGGTCACCTGGCTCTGATTCATTAGTTCTTCCTGATTAGACAGGAAGACACAACAGTTTGAGTAGTGTAACAAAAAGAAAGAGTGAGAAAATATTAAATAATGCAAGTTAATACTGGCATAATTCTAGCATCTTACACACTGTTAGACCCAAATATGAAAATTAATCTTACATGAGAAAGTAAACATTAATAATTTTTCCAAAGAAATATCATATAAAACATTTTAAACCACCATATTCTATTTTGCAATATCATAGGAAGACTTTTTTTGTTATAAAATCTAAAAGAAAAAAATTTATAAGACAAGTAAATACCGAAGTTTTATGGAGCCCAAAGGGAGACCGACATTCCACAAAATCTACACGCTCTTTTATGGTCATAACAATATGAACAAGAACTTTCAATTGTATGCCTTCCTCGCTTTGACTATATAGTTAAATACACCAAGGAAAATATGCAATTTAAGACTTTTGCCGTCATCCCTTCAGTTATCATAAGAGGGGGGGGGAATGAAAACTACTAACTCATTGAAATTTTTGTTATTTTAGATCTTTTTTTCTATGCATCATGATTAATCAGTCCCAAAAGAATGCAAGTTTCAGTGGGTTTAACATTCCAACAAAACTTTAGCAAGGACGTAGGCTCGCCTTAAACTAGGTTTCTCAAAGTGGGACTACTGATATCGGGGACCAGACGACTCTTAGGACGGATGGAGTGCTCCTGTACATGCAGTGCTGTGGAGCATCCTCTTAGCCTCATCCCTCTACAGAGAGGAAATCAAAATGCAGCAGTCAAAACTGTGTCCAAACACTTCCCAGTGTCCTCCAGGGGGCAAGGTCGGCCCTGCCTAAGAAGCCCTAGCTATATGGGCCATCAACATGCTACTTCTCCATGTTTATTCATTAAACAACAATCAAAAGAATGCCTGACTAGTAACTGACATTGAAAGTAATATCAGATGTCAACTGTAAAGTAATTTTCTTCATTCGGAGACAAAAGCTTCCAACTTTAAGTAATGTGAGATTTTTATTATTGTGTTAGATTTAAAATTTATTTATGCTTAATTGGTAGGTTTCATTTTTTTATTCAAATAATACCTACTTTTATTTTCTGCGATGTTTCATTCATCACTCATTCACCTATGAATAAACAGATCTGGATATGGTTAAACAAAGCTGGGACTATTTTATCCAAACAAGTAGATACACTTCCCAGTCATAAAAAGATAGCCAGACTCCAGACTGTTCTAAGAGAAAGTCAACCTTTAGAGAGCACACTGTTTTCATATCAATTGAACAGTGTTCACAGTGTTAATAACCTCTCTCTTTTTCCAAGACATGAGTATGTCTCAAGGGCAGTGAGACACTGTAAAGAGAATGCTGTGGTGCTTGCAGATTTTGACATTTAATTTGGTAGAAATAGAACCACAGGATGCCTATAAGTAAGACACAGTTGCTTCTCCTCTCAAGTAAGAAAGCAAGCTCCCAGAATCTACTTTGTCTATTTGTGTCTGAAGAACTTTTCATGCCAGGAGAAAACACAGAGTGTCTCGACTTCAGAGTGAAAATCTAGCGCGAGCCACACGCCGGTCTCTGCTTTGACTCACCTATGTGATAGAGGCCAATCCAATCGCTGGGGTCTACCTCTTCCTTAATGTCCCAGAAGATGATGAGGTTCTGGGCTTGCCCCAGCGTGTATTCGTACATGCTGGCAGTCAGGCTGGAGCGGCTCTCGGAAGTCACCAGGTCCGTGTCGCTGTTGGCTCGCTGCAGGGCCATGTTCTCCGGCATGGAGCTCTGGGCTGCGAGGCTCTGGAGGTTCTCTGGGCTCAGTGTGTACCGCATCTGTGGATTTCGACGCCGCACGAAAAGCAGGTGCTCCCGGGCGGAGCTAGCCATCCTGTTTGCCTCTCTGAGGTTGGTTTCCTACGATGCTGCGAGAGACAGACAAGCATAAAATATTAGTGCTACGAGGTGAGAAATTAGGATTAATCATCCCGGACATGAAGCCTGAGTTTATCAACGCCCCAGCATGCAATAATCTGCTGTGGAAATGACGACGCCATGCTACTGTCCCCGGATGATATCAGAAATAACTCCTACAGACAGAGGTGGCATGATGGCCAGGCCGTCACACACCTGTGGCCCCCAGCTTCTTTTGGCATAGCTTCTCCAAGAAGCTGAGGAAGAAGGATTTTTCTAGCATCCCTTTTAGATCTATGCATCCACACATATTCCAGCATCCTCTTTCCCTTTTTTTTTTAATCCCACTAAAACTAAATGTCCAACAAGCGAGATACACGCTAAATACAGTGGATATATGCTACTGGTGTAACATTCACTGTTTCAGTTTCCCTGCCACGAGGAATGGAGCTCCCTGAAGTCATTTCCAGGAGCTTGATCAAATGTCACCTCTGCGCTTAAATGTATGGGGGTGGGGGGTGTTATATGAAGAATGGCAACACCCTGAAAGTCCCTCTTCATGTTTCTCTACGATCTGACTTGCCCTATGACTACTTATCTGGCCACTGTCTAGTAAGTTTCACCAAGCAGTGATTTTCATGCTTTGTCACTATTTAATTCCCAGGGTCCACAATGGTGTCAGGAAGACAGCAGGTGGGACCCATTGTTAACTGAACAGGTGAAGAATGGACAGCATCTTTATCCTAGAGACCCTGTGACATGACTTACATCTCCAGTCTCTCTTCTGAGCCTGCTTCTTGTCACCTTGAAGCCTTTCCTACCGCCCAGATCATAAGTGACTTCCTTCAGCTCCCATCTGGCCTCCAAGAAGGAACGGACTTCCCTGTTGGGCCTTGCCTCCAGCCTCCTTGTTCCCTGGAGTCTCCTCTGCTTATGAGCCCCTGGATAAGGTATCTGTCCTTTAGCCCGGTCCCCGTGAGGTTCTGTCTCCTAGTACTTACCCACCCTGCCCATGGGTTCACTTGACATCATCCAGATCCTACTGGGTTTATAAAGAGTCAATCTGCTCTTGTACACTCCTTTCCAAACAATAATCCACTTGTACATTTACAGGCTTTATCATTTATTCTGTACCACCAGTCTTTATTGGAATCTTTAATATATTTCATTTAAAGCTAACCTATTGACTCCTGGAAAGTCAGCATGAGATTCTACCTGAAAGCAAACCAGCTACCCTCCAGAGTCGTACTGTACCACAGCTACCAACTTTGGACACTGAGTCTGGGGGCAGAGAGACGAGGAGAAAAGTTTCCCTAACTTCTCCCCTTTCCCCGTCCATTTCATGCTGTTGGGGAAATGCCTGTTCTGATTTGCTTTCTACTATGATGACAAACACCATGACAGAAAGCAACCAGGGGAGGGAAGGCTTGGCTTCAGCTTGCAGGTTTCAGTCCGTCATCAGGGACCATGGAGAAAGGCTATCTTCTAGCTTGCTCCCTGGCTCATGTCGAACTCCATTTTCTATGCAGCCCATGCCCACCTGGTTGGGATGCTGCCACCCACAGTGTGCTCAAGTAGCAACCAAGAAAATGCCCCACAGACATGCCCAGTTTGACAGGAGCAATTTTTCAGTTGAGGTTCCTATCCTAGCTAGTTTCATGTCAACTTGACCCCGCAAGCTAGAGTCATCTGAAAGGAGGGAATCTCAATTGAGAAAATACCTCCAAAAGATCCCGATGTAAGGCATTTTCTGAATTAGTGGTTGATGTGGGAGGGCCCAACCCATTGTGGGTGGTGTTGCCCTTGGGCTGGTAGTCCTGGGTTCTATAAGAAAGCAGGCTGAGCAAACCATGAGCATGAGGAGCAAACCAGTAAGCAGAACCCCTTCATGGCCTCTGTATCAGCTCCTGCCTCCAGGTTCCAGCCTTGCTTGAGTTCCTGTTCTGACTTCCTCCAATGATGGACTAGGACGTAGAAATGTGAGGAAAATAAACCCTTTCCTCCTGAATTTGCTTTTGGTCATGGTGTTGCTTCGCTGCAAGAGAAGCCCTCATGAAGACAGTCCTCTCTTCCCAGATGTGTCAAGTTGGCAATCAAGACTAGCCATCCCAGTGCTCATGTTTCCATTAATACAGCTATTGTACTCGCAAATATATTCAAGTAATGTCCGCCATGAAGCTGGTTGCATGGTTTTAGCACTCACTATTCCTTGAGTCAAAAATAACTTGGCAGTGAGGTGGCTCAGCAGATAAATAAATACATGTAAAGTAACTTGGGTTGGTAGGCAAGAAGCTGTATGTGGAAAGGACAAAAATAAAAACAGACAAGCTGGTTTCTCCAGACAAATGGCATTAAGTTCTGTGCTTGTTCACGTGAATACTTCTGTTTTGCTTGGTTTATGCAGGAACTCCGACTTTATTATATTCTCCAGGACTATTGACAGTATCTGACCTATGAAGCCTAAAACCTAGGTCAACATCTCACCACTTCTAGTTCAGTGGATTTCCATAAGCCATTATTTCTTTATAAACTCTCGAGTCAAGTGCCACATCAGCTCCGGCAAGAACTATAAATAATTAACTCCTAACACATTGCAGGCAAACAGCAAATGCATGCTGTACATAATAAAACTATTTTCCTGAAAGAAATAGGCCAGAGCCTTCAAAGCTTAGAAACACAACAGACCACAACTGACAATTATTCTGCTCTAGAAACGAATGAAAAGACACAGACACACAACTGAATTGTGTGTTTTAGCATGACCTATATTTAGACAAAGAAGTGGGTTAGCATTGTGCATTAGGGGATGAGGTCCAAAGCCATGTACCTGGATTTTGGTCATGTCTCTACTATTCACTCCCTCTGAAATCTGTGACATTCTGTTTGCCTACTGTCATTAATCCCTACCCCCAGGACTTTGGAGAAAACTAAATTAACCATTGTAGGAAAACAAACTGAAAACAATGACTAGCAAAAACTAAGTGTTCAATGAAGTTTAGCCACTAATATGATCACATCACTGCATTCTAGTTTAATTTCACCAAACAGAACTGGTTTGCACATTCCCATGATTCTCCAGGCTCTTATTCCCAACCCTTGTCTGTTACTTACTGGGAGAGCAGGCTGTCAATATCATACCTACCCAAATGACAGGACCAAGCAGAGACAGAGCAGTCCTGCAGTACAGAGAAACTCAACTCTCAAGAAACCTGTCTAGGGCTCCTGCCTCAAGCCAGCCCTGTTCTCCAGTGCTCAAGCCAGCAATAAAGGCTGAGACTTGACTTTCTCACCCACAGAAAATGCAAAGTGAGCACCTTCCAGTTGGAAGGTGTCAAGGATGCCAAGAACAAAAGACAAGTGTCCCACCCATGGAACCATACTGTACCAAGAAAAGACATAAAATAAAAAATCAAAACCTGAACACATCATATATGATGTATCTCAGTAAAAAAGTAAAAAGCTGATAGGTGAATTTACTATCTTAATGGAATAGGGCCTCATGTTTGAAGCATGTGTTACTATGTGCCTAGTATCAGGCCAGAGAGAATGTTAAACAATAAAAACCTAAGAGGTTTTTTTTCCCCCCCAGATCATCTCCTTTCCTCCAGCATATGGTATGGCTCTCACCTTCTAGGAGCTTGAGTTTTTTTGAGAAGACCAAAAGCTCATAGATGAGAGAATTCAGTATGCTACCAATATCACTTCACACACGCACAATCTGTCCCAACAAACATGTAAAAAAAAGACAACAAACGCTGTGAAGCATCAGCACAGTGGCCCCCTCAGATCTGTCACGTTTTGTGTGTTTTCCAAAGCCCCATGATAGCCGCAGTCCAAAGGGAGACCCCGAAATACTGTGAATTCAGCTTGAGGGCATCATCCTCATCATCCTCATCATCCTCATTGTCCTCATCATCACCTTTTTTGAGATAAGAAAATCGACCCAGAAGGCAAAGGGTTGACTGAAAGAGACAGAAAATATCTGAGGTGGACCTTAGACAAAAAGTATGAAGAACATTTTGGTTGGAGGCATGGAGACAGAAGAACTACCAAGGAAGAGAGAGGACCGGGGAAAGGAAGGAAAAACAGGCTCCACGGATCATGAAGCTGATGAGAAAGCTATAAAGGAATTCAAGTGGAAGTCTCTGGAGTGGGCGGGGCGGGCTGGTGCTGGCAGCTGACGCCGTGAACCCAAGCTTGGCACAGAGCACACGGACGTCCCTGGAGACTGACCCTCAAGGCACAGACACAAATAAATGAGGGGACACTGGGGGTCCAAGAGGGGTGATTCTCAGAGGACAGACAAATGTCACGGCTAAGGTAAAAGAACCTAGGAACCTAGGAGCGTAGTTGGGGACAACACTTTTAATAGACTAGTAAACGTAATTTCTAAGAGCCAGATTGTTGAGGTTTGAGGAAGGAGGCTAGGATGAGAAATGGGGTAACAAGTCCTTCCCCTAAAAGAGTAACGCACAGTAAAGAGAGGGCATGGAGAGAGGAGTGTGGATGACTACAGAGCTGGGCTAGTCAGCTTGTGACTTGGGATGACAGGGAGTTTTGCGTGTTTATAGTATTGGCACAGTAACAAAAAAACTCAGGATGTTTTAGTTGCCTGAATAGAAACTGAAAGAAAAGTACGTAATGAAGAGAATATGTAGGAAAGAGGAAGCATACAATGAGTAAGATAACTAAAAAACAAAACAAAACAAAAAACAGGTTAGAGCACACAAGAAAGGTGAAGGAGTATAAACCAGCACTGTCTAACAGAAATACAATGCAATCCACATGTGTAATTTTACATTTTCTAAAAACTACATTAAAAACATAAAACAAGAAGAAATGTTAACAATTTATTTTAACTCAATATATACAATGCTGCTATTTCAGCATTAATATAAACCATTACAAGTGAGACATTCTGTTCTCACCAGCACCACCACCACCACCCAGGCTTTTGTCTTACTGAAATCTTTCCTCCCCCTGTGCCCCCTCCCCAAGGCTTTTGTCTTAC